TGCAGATCACCAAAACACAGTCTCAACAGAACCTAACTCTGAGTTACAGTCCATACAGAGCAGACCTTGTGGATACTCACTGACGTCTAATAAAATAGCTTGGCTCTCCTGCCAAACTGCAAGGCAGCTCAGATTTCAGCTGCTGGCGACTCCACGTCACCCCCATAGCTCAGGTCAAGCTCAGGGTTTCAATCAAGAAAGGACCTGCCTAGCATTACATTCTCCAACCGTGATAGCTCGATACTTTCTAGGAGGGCCCAACTCCAACGGGACTTCCACACTGTGCTTTTTCTAACCAGTTGCCCCCCTGTGTCCCCAAACACGCTAACTTTGCTTTGTAAATGCTGCTCCATCCGGCTTACCATTCAGTCAGGATTCTTTGCTGGGGCCTCCTAAGACTGACTACTTTTCTCAGGTCTGTGCCAAGCCAGCTGAAATTGTAAGAAAAATGTTGGCCTTTTTTGAGGGGAGGAAGGGCAGAGGGGAGTAGATAACTTACAGCAGAAGATGGTTCGCCGATCTCAACTGAGCTAAGAAACTTTTTTGCAGCACTAGGGAATGTAGATATATAGGACACAGACATATATTCCTACAAGTTAGATGTTTTCAAACCTCTATTCTGGGGATGGTTATTAGTTATGGCAAACATGGTTTCCTAAAAGAGTTTTCCCACCCCTTTTAAGCTCCCTTGAATGCTCTATTGCCAAGAGGCAAATGAGGACATTGAGGTCTATCACATGGAGATACTGTCCCAGGTGAATTGAAAAAACACCATAAACATGCTTCCAGGAAACCTGGGGAGCTTCATGGTGGGCCCAGAGGGGCTTCAGCAAATCTCAGCCCTGAAGGGACTTCCCAAGAGGATCCATGTCACAGAAATGAGAAAGGAAAACGCAACGCGACAATCCCAAAGTGATGGTGCTGTGGCAGACACAAAAGGCGATGCACACAAGGGAAGAGAAATTAGAGAGCCGTGGCTGGTGCACGTGAGGGGATGCAAAATAAAAATCCCTTGTTATTTTTAGTATTTAAGAGCGGCCAACGATTGGTGGGTTAGATGAAAATAGCAGAGCCCAATTAAGAGTGCAAGGACAATGGGAGGTTTAGGCCAATCCTTAGAAATAGCTATTATGCCTACCTTTGGGAAAAAAAATAAGTAGCTTTTAATGCTATTCATTTTGCAATGGATTCTTTTTTGCCTTTTAGGAAAGGGTTGTTGGTGTGCAGGGGGCTAGAACAGGATTATAGTTCCATACTCCAAAGGCACACGTACATTGGCCATGCACGCACACGCAGCAGGCGCCCAGAAACGGCCATCCCTTTCTCACGATTCTACGTTTAAATATCAAAACGGGGGAGGCAGAAAAGGCAGTGGGGGGACTTGTTCGGAAAGGGGCGGATCTGCAGATGCAGAATGTAGAATCTGCCGCTGTGGAAGCAAAAACCAGAAACCAGCTTTCGGAGCAACTGGTTGGATTACCCAGGAGTAAAACCCACATTACACGGACAGGCGTAAGAAAGCTCCAGTCTGATAAGGAAGAAAAACTGGGAGCTTTGGAAAAATACAAAGGCGGTGGCCGATCCTCCCAGCAGCCTTAGATATTATGTGTTTGCTGTACTTTCCATCTTATTTTTCAGACACTTATTGAAAACAGAGACCCCAGCCCTTCCATCAGGCGTAAAACTAACAGAAACAGAGAAGAGATTCAAGAAAAAGGTCCGTATTTCGAGACAACTTGGTGTTAATGTATTGCTGATTCAAGCAGGCGTCTGGGGTTCTTCCTTAAAGAGGAGTCACTGTGTTTTGTTCCTTTGGACAACGGATAAGGGCTTTTCCAGTTCCTCAGTCCCAGGCCAGCTATGAGTAGAAACCAGATTCCTACTGACGGGAAGTTGCTCAATTTCTCCACCTCTGGCTGATGCAAGGCTGGGAGTGGCACCTGGAGTTATCTCTGGATGTTGTCTTGGCATCCCCAAGTCCCCTGCCCTACCTGACTTCTACATTTTTAATTTAAAAACTAGGGGGCTGGCCCGGTGCCAAGCAAAGAACCCTGCCTCCAGCATTATCTTTATTTAAAAATTGTGCTTCTGGGTGGCCACGGGAAGTTGCTTCACTGGAAAGTCACTCATTTGTGCAGGGGGAAAAGGGCAAAGCCTTGCCAAGATAGCATACAGCATCCTTTGGAAGGAAGAGCTACAGATGTTGGAGGACGCATTCCAGCCAATCAATGCTTTAATCACACCTGCCCAGGAGATATTTTTGGAGATGGCCCACAAGAGAGTCTCAACATTCTAAATGGGTCCCCTATTCCAGGAATACCTGAAGGACCAGGTTATGGATAGATCATCATGGAGAAAATCTATCTAGGTGGCCGCTAAGAGTCAACACCAACTTCATGGCACATAATCAATCAACCAAGCCAAGATCTTCAGATTTCTCTCCTCCTGGGAGGAAGAATGGGTGGCCCCCCCAGGCCAACAGACCACACCAAAACTGAGGACAATAATCCTGTTCTGGTTTACATACAAATTCAACTTAAGGACCTTGGGAACGGAACTCGTTCTTCAACTGGGGACTACCTGTATTATTGTATAATACTGTATAAGTAGTATTGTGTAATGAACTCGAATCATTGTGTATTTAATTTGAATTTTGCTACAAGAGGCTCCGTTCTTAAATACGGGTCATCTGTAAACTGGCCATTCTTAACCCAGGGACTACGTGTATTTATGACAGTTGCCAATTTTTTGCTCTTAGCATACACAAGAAATAACAGTTGGCCGGAAAGATACTATTACAGACACCATTCCTTTTATTCCGTATGCAGGATATATGATCTGCTCTCAAGCTGGCTCTCTCCTCCACGCCCTCTCTGCAAAGTTAAGAAATTCCTCTAGCTTATGTCAACGTAATTTGGACCCAATGTACTACACCAGAGAAGAAAACAACTCCAGGATTTAGACTAATCCTATCAAAGATCTTCAAACAAGCTCTTAAGGTTTTTACAGCAAGAGGAAAGGGAGGGCACCAAAGGAGATTTATTATCTCCGTGTTTTACTGGGCTTTAGATTTATTCCTGTAGTAGGTCCATGCCATAAAACAACCCCAAACAATCACCAGCTTAGGACTCTCCACCTGGATTTGACTTGCATCCATAATCCAGAATGAGGTACCCCACAAAAGGATGCAGTCATATGCTAGGAGAGAGAGAACTCAGAAATAGGGAACCTGTTGAGCTCTAGTTTGTTGTTGACCACAATTCCCAGAAGCACAAGCCCACTGAGCCAATGGGGAAGGATTCTGGGAGTTGTGGTTTAGCTCTTAGGTCCCTCACCCCAGCTTCCAGTTACCTTCCCTAATCTAGTACTGTCAGCCCCACTAGGTAGACCAGACCAGGAAATCAACTCCATGGGGAGGTTAAAACCACTTTTATTGAGATTGGCTATCATAACAGCATCTTGCAAGTCGAAATGTGCTGGACCTCCTCCATTTTGTTATATTCCTGTGAATCGGGGAGGTGTCTGCCTGAGCCTCTTCCAACTCTCTTCTGTCTGCTGTGGACTCAAGATATGTTTTACCCCTCATCACTTTGGTAATGGAGTTTGCATATCTCCTTCAAGGTCATTTTCCTTATTCTCTAAAGGTACCCTCCACATGTGCTGGGCCTCAACTTCCAGCCACATCTGGAGGGTACTTCATTAGAAAAGCTTGACCCAAAGGCATTAAGGACAAAACTCCTAGAGTATTCCCTCATATTAACACTGCTGACAAGCATAAACATGCTGGTGTTCTTTGCATATTTGGAGCTAAAAATCCTGAACCCCAAACAACAGATCATGCAGGTTAGGTCTGATGAGAGCTGTAGTCCAAAACACCTGGTGAGCATCATATGATCTACCCTCCTTGCAAACCAGAAAGCTAGAAAGGATGACTGGGGAACAGGCTAATTCTTATTGGTGAGAGATCTTTCCACCCTTGAGATCATCTCAAGGTATGCATTTTCTTTTCCTGGTGGGGAAAGAACAGCAATCAACATCTCTCTTACAGTGACTCACCTCCACTGACCTAACATGTCCTGGTCTCCACAGCTTCTGCAAAGATGCCATTAAAGCTATTTAATTCCCCATTTTTCCATGTCAATATTACCCTGTTTCTGAATGATGGGGTATCTTCAGTCACCCAAGATGCTCTCAGTGTCTCCAGAAGTTGCCAGGAGAGTCAAACAAATTCACCATACTTGGAATCATGAATGACCATGCCTTTAGTGGTCTTCCCTGAAGCCACATGGGTCCATGTGTTGCATGAGAAAGTTTAACTCTTACTTATTCCTGGCCAACCAAGGCTTAGATTGGAACAGAGCTGATCCACAACAGAGCATCACCTAGACTTCCCTTGATGAAACTCCCAGACAGCTGATGTCAGTTGGAGCTGACACTCGGGTGGCTGAATGGGTGGTAGCCTCCAACTTTCTCTGGTGTCAAGAGGGACTGACAAAGACCTTAGGGGGTCTGTGATGCAATGAATGTCCACTTAAGAGGTTAGACACTGTTGGTGCTACAATGTCCTAAGCCCTCCCTTCCAATCCAGCATTTACAAGAGGAAGAACCTCTTCATTTGGTCACTCCAGGAACAGCACAGCAAACACACTGTCCATGTCACCAAGACACTCTCTGGTGACAGGCGGAGATCACTGGCCGGGCAACAGCTGTCTGCCTGTTTATGGCTGGCACAGCAGGGGCCCTTTCCCTGTCTAACTCCTGGGGAAGTAAGAGGTTGCTACCACCATGAGAATGTGACAGAGACTTTGTTGTTATAATTACCAAGATCCAACATGCTAATAATTATTTTCCTCTAATCACCCACGTGGAAAATTGTATGTGTACAAGAGGAAGCATTTTTAAAATTAGCTATGCTCCCACAGCACAACGGAAGGGGGACGTCTACAGGAACACAGGGAAGAGGGCTCTGTCTGTTGATGGAGCTGGATTTCAGGACCTACCTTAACTCATGAAAGCCGCTTCCCCGATCGGCGACCATCAACGCCTTAGAGCCCCATGCGGTGTGCCCAGTATCTGACGCAGATACACTGGTGTGAACTGGAAGGGATATAGATAATGGGTAACAATGGTAAGATTACGAGACTGGTGAGAAATGGTACCATGACTCTATTAATCATCTTCTTGGGATACGCCATCATGCAGGAGTAGAGCCTCTCAAGACAGAAGGAAGAGAGGACGGAAAGATCTTTGCCTTTGGTTTGGCCCTGGCTTAGCCTGCAGCCAAACCCAGTTGTGGTTTATTCAGTAAACCATGCTTTAAAAACCCACAACCTAGCGAGATGCCGGAGCCGAATTCCTAAAGAATTGATGCCTTCCAGAAGACGATGCAGCGCTGGATGGCTCCACACCTTGATTCAGAAGACAGAAAGCAGGGGGCTTCCAGACAACTCACGTTAAAAAAGAACCGATCTCACTATGTTCTCCTTTAGAAAGGCCCAGAAGACCAACCAAAGAGTTTCTTTGCAAGCGTGGCCCAGAACGTTGCTCCTCCCAAGAGCTGCAGTTCTCATCACCATCAGCCTGTTCAGAAGCCATCTTGAACTTACCAGCAACAGAATACCCGCTTTTATACTTCACCTCTCCGCCCCTATTCTCTTTCCTGCGGGCAGAGAGCAGCCGAGTTCCTCAACTCTTAATCATCGCAGAGGGACCAGACGTTTGGAAGTTGCCGTTTGGGACATTACAGATAGAGAAAGCAATACCCAGCATTTCCTTCTCTATACAACTGCTCAAGATAAGTTTGCAACTGCCCCATCTTTTTTTTTTTTTAAAGAGAGATGTTAACAGTGCTGCAATTCACTTTTTCGTAACCCCCCAACCTTGGTCTTCTCCACCCCGGTGCTCCCCTGCCCCAGACTGTAAGACCTAAGGCATGGCCAAAGGTCAAGAATAATAGTTGGGCAAGGCATTTGTGCCTAAGTATTTTCCCTTGTCCCTGTACATGAAGACCACTCCCATCCCAACTAGCTTTCATTCTTCCTCAACTCCTCCAGCAATTAACCTTACATTTGTCCCGTCTCTACCCTCTGCGCTCCCCCTTTCACTGCAGTTCATGACCTCTCGCCGAATCTACAGCCAAGGGCCAAAGGCTACCGACACCACTGTGGTAAAGTCCTCAAAACTGACTTAATCACCTTTTTTTCTTTTGCTTAACCTCCCCTTGGCTGAGGCCGCTGCTGGGTGACCAGCTTCATAATAGGGAGCTGGTTGGATGAGTTAATTTACCCTCCCAGAAAAAGGAGGAATTCTGCCCCTCTTCCTTGCCAAATCTATTTCAAATTTAATTTCAAATCTAAACAGAAAGCAGGGAGGGAATGCTGTGGAGAAGTGGGGTCAACAGGCTTATTTAAGCTTCTGGGCAGATGGAATTCATGGAATATCAAGGAGAAATTCAGCAAAGGTAGAGGTGGAGAGAAAGCCTCCAAGCGGTGTGCTAAAATGTAGGAAACTTTCAGAAGGAATACCAGTAGGATATGCAATCAGATGTTAGTTAGCACGCCCTGTTCCTGTTTGCTTATCACAATATCTGATTTCTATTCTGCCTCCCTGCTACCTCAAGCAAAAAGCAACTCACTTACCACCTCTAGGGAGAACAATTGTCCATCTTTGAATTTAGGCACAAGACAAGGGTTTCTGTCCCCGGACTAAGCTTTCTCCCAACTCACCTCTAAACTAATCTGACAAAGTGAAGAAACATTGGGGTCATTTTTTAAAAAAAAAAAATCAGGAATGGACTCAAACTTAGCTCTGATCCCGAAAACCAACTCTGGATGTGAGCCATGAGCTCAGAGGCACAGTCTTAAACTTAAGTCATGGATTATGAGGCTCTAGTTTAAATATATATATATATTGAGATGGGCATGTGTATGGAATCCACAAAGACTAGGAATTTACTCAGTGGGTTTTTATGGAGTTTTAAGGGCTTCATATATATATGTACAGCAATGCCCAAGGTTTACTGCAAAGCATAAGGTCTGCTCAACCCAGCATGAAGTGGATTATCTAAGTTGGTATCTCTCTGCCCCACCAGAACTCTCAAGATAATACTGAAGAGGTGCTCTGAATGTTAGGGAGGTACATAAATGCTAGCAACAACACCTTCTGATAGTTATGAGGCAAGCTGTCACATACTGAAGACATCACAGCCCCAACCTCCCCGTAGGCAGAGAAACACCTGGGAACGGAAACTGAGAGCGATGCTTGTTCTGCAGGCCGACTGATGCTTGCAGCAAGCCGAGGACGAAGAGAATGTGGGGCCGTCTGCGTTACAAAGCAGGGAAAAGCAGCCAGCTCTTTTCTGCACATCAGGTGGCAGCATGCCAGCTTCACTCCAAACCCAGCCAAGTCCTGCCCCGTTACCTCGAGAAGTCAGGAAATGTATCCCTACAACAGCCAAGTTCCTGGAGAGCATCTAAGCGCCAGGGCAATGTCTAGCATCTGCAGACGACAGCCCCTCTAGGACGAAAGAACCCATTCAGGTTAGGAAAACGACTCAACCTGTCTGCTGGCTGCCTGTCTGGCAGAGTTACAACCACGGTGGGCCCCCTCTATGCAGGATGTTCAAACAGGGTTATGGCTTAAGTTGGCCAGGGAAAGGGAGACGAGTTTAAGAGAGATGCTGTCCAAATACCAAAACTCAGCTCTGGATTTGCGCTCTAGCCTTCCCGTTCCCCACCTAGGACCTACAACGTCACTTTGAGCTCCACCAAAGAAACACAAGATGAGTAAATACCTGGCATCTAATCTGAAGCCCTTAAAACTCCATAAAAACCCACTGAGTAAATTCCTAGTCTTTGTGGATTCCATACACATGCCCATCTCAATATACTGTGCAAGATTACTTGAGGTTTGGGCATTTAACCAAAATGGCAATGTCTCTTCCAAGTCAAGCTTGATTGTTGGTGATTCCTTCAACAAACCCATGTAATTTTCATGGCAGCGATATGGAAGGTATTGCTTTCTTCCAGAATATTTTTTTCAACTTTGTCATCTAGCTTCCCGTCATAGAACAAACTGGGTCTGGCCCCGCTTCGCTTTCTTCAAAATCAGCAAAGGTTGATTATGTCTGCTGACATCAACTGGAGTCAGACACACGGCCCGGAGGCAAACAATACTGCTGCTCTGTGGGCAAATCCACTTCATCTTGCACACTAATAACATATCATCACCTCCCATCACTCAGCGTGGCAAGAGAGCTCCACCAGTAAGCATTTCTGGAATTAAAGATTAAACTTTCAGGTTGAGCCATCATCAGCTTCCTTGGTCAGGTTATGGTTTTTCAGATATTGATCCAAATCTCCTTTGTTTAAATCTGTTACATATTCTCTCTCTCTCCCTTTCTCAACTTCTACAACCCGCCTTGCCACTATGTATTGTTGGGTAATATTCCTTCTGACAGCAACCTCGCATATTTTAGCAGAAGAAGCCTTGGCCTGACCTTCACATTGTGCAAAGGAACATGCTTGCAACAAAGGAAACCAACAGAAACAGATACTGTATGAGCTCCTGGACATCCTCCAGTTTCCCAGAAAGGAAGCATCTGTCTAGTGCAGTGTTGTCCAAACTTGGCCACTTTAAGATGAGTGGACTTCAACTCCCAGAATTCCCCAGCCAGCATAGCTGGCTGGG